CCTTCTCAAGTACTATTAAGACTTCCTTTAAACAGGAAAATATACCTAAGTTGAAACATTTTTACTTATCAAAAATTGATGACAATCATAATCATACAATTTACGCTTAGAACTTAAAAGAGTAAGACTGTGTGAAAAACCACATTATAATTGTTGAAAAATTATTTTCACGGAAAGGTTTACCAGTAATAATATCATTGACTATTTATTTATTATAACATCTGGTACAAAAATAAAATTTAAAGAAAATAAATATTTAAAAAATATATTTATGAAAAAATATAATTTCTAAGAAATGTTTGAATATTTATGTCAGTTTTTTTTAATTTAAAAAGTCTAAATGTATAAAAGCTTTTTTTAAATTACAAACGAAAGATCTTTATAATACTATCCTTTATTATACTGTTCTGTATAGGAACGTTTTTTATATTTTTTAAAGATAATGTAATTTTTAAATCGTGTAAAACGTTCAAACATTTGCTTAAATATGTAATTCAGTTAGATTTAATTAATTTGTTCTTACATAAATTTGGTTCTCATAAAATACATATATGAAGTTATTAAAAATTTATACGTTTAGTCAGTCCTGTTTGATTTATTTAATTTGTTTTTCATTGAATAATGTAGGAGGTTTTTATTGCAAAATACGAGAGTATTATAAAGATACTAAGGGTTGATATTGATTACTTAAATAATGTTAATGATATTGGTATTATATGATATTAAGATCCCAAGAATGCATTAGCTGATTACAATGTCGATTACTCCATTATTTCGTGATAAATTTGAATATTTATTATAACGATAAAATATAATTATTTAATATAACAATTAATTCTTAAAAGTTAAATAGTTAAATACAGAATAAAATAAAACCACACTCCATACAAAATATTTAAACTTCGATATTGTAAGTGATGTAATAACAAACTTCAATATTCAATTTATAAATGCATTATAGTTGTTAGTCTTATTTATTTTTTAGAAATCATTAACATTCCATATTATGTTCTGAAAATCAAATGCAAATATAGGGAGTCGAAATAATCCGTAACTACCAAAACGTTTAGAGTTTAATCTCAGACAGTGTCATATATAATATCTATATTTAAAATATATAGGTATATGGTATATACGAATATAATGACATATTTAATGCAAAATGATAAGGAAATAATAAGATTCAGTGTATATAAAATTACTTCGAGATATTTTGAAGATCATCGTTTATATTACATTATAAAAAAAAAAAAATTAACTGTAATTATTTTACACTAAAAGTGTTTTTAGAATGTTAAGAAAATCATCATAAGCCACTACAAAAATAAAAAATAACAAAGATATTATATTGAATATAAAAAAAAAAATAGATTTTTTCCTAAACAAGACGCTTTGTAACGAAATATACTTCTGTAGTTCTATCATTAAAATTTAAAACATAACAACGAATGTATTGAGTATGATGACAACCAATATCGCCGAATTAATAACAATAATAATAAATAATAATATAAATATTTATGTATAAGCTAGAAAAAACAGTATTAAAAATCAAATATAAAAACTCGATCGTAGCAGCGATCAACGTCTTGTGGTACTCACATCGATTATTATTTTTTTTCGTATCACTGGACTCATTGCAGAATGATATAATATTATTATTAGGCATTGTTTATTTTCTTACTAGTAACGCTACCGAAAAATTTAATGCATTATTTATAATATTGTTTATACTCTTTAAATATACCTATTCAATATAATAAAAAAACACGTGTCAAGCTTAACCTTTAACTAACTTATAAGAATAGGTCTGCTCATACTTGCTTTGTGGTGTATGTATATATATATATATATATATTTAGTATATTATATAATACACCTCACCATCACCTTGCAATAGTTAAACTAAAATAAAATTAAGAACAGTTAAAAAAAAATTGTGAGCACTAAAATTATATATGTATATATATTTATTTGGCGATATTATTCGTTTGTTTAATTCATTGCAGTGTAATTATTATGAGATTATTGTTCATTAAATTCAAAAATAACAAATGATTACAATAAAAAAAAAAAAAAAAAAAAAAATCGTGAGCTCTGTGAAATTCAATGATTTAAGCCATTTAAAGTTTTATAATAACTAAAAGATAATTGAATCAAAATATATAAATATTTAGTTCAATACTATGTTGTAAATTAGTAAATTCAATTGTTTTAACCATATGTGGATTGCGATCTATAAATAGGTAACCAACTTCAAATATACCTATTTAAAATGCTATTTCATTATTAATTAATAATTTTTATTAATTATTAATTAGATACCTACGTTTAACACCATATAACGATATAACATATTTTAATCACAAATACTAGTTCATTCGATCTGGTGAGTGGTAAATGTATGGTTTTTATGAGAATAAAATAATTAATATATCATAAAAAAATACTATTATATCAAACGCGCGTTATTTTTCTGGAAAGCGAATCCGTACATCTTCATTTTATTTAGGTCAAAATCAAATTCTAAGAAAAAACGACAGATAATTGCAAATAATTCTCTTTAACTCTGCAACTAATAGAACATCAATTTAAATATTGACTATTAGTCTGTCTATTACTATTACAATTCCTTTAATAATATTTAAACTGCCTATAACGTCTACTACTAGTACTACAACTATTTTTATTACTAAGACTGTTGCTGCTACTGCTATTACTTCTAATATCTAATGATAAGTGCTTACCTTACCTGACCAACTTTATAAATATTTTATGAATTGACATTGATATTTTTTCACTTATCCCTTTGAAAGTGCTTTTTTTTATTTAAACTAATTTTTTATGTTACATCCAATTTATAGAAATATCTATTGCACACATATGTATAAAACTAAGACTACTAGAGTAAGTTAGGTTTCCTCAAATAGAGTATGATGTTTTTATTTATCGAAAAACTCTTATGTGTATACTATATAGTGATATGCGCTTATGGCGTATTTTTTGATAGGTTACAGAAAGATATTTTATTTCTACTTCTGAGTAGACCAATGAATTTATTGGTTTAACAATGATGTACGATAATTTTTTGCTCTTACATTTAATGAGTACAGAAGAATATGCTCTTAACTTCAATATTGAGGGTATTTCTTAGTAGAATTGTCGATATTAAAAGTTAAAAACGTACATACTTTAAAAAAATCAAACATAATAAATATTTTCTTATCGTCTAAACAATTGTACAAAACAAACAAAAATAGCGGGTTTAAGTCAAAAAGAATTATAATACAATTCCAAATTTTGACTAAAACAATATTATTTTTCAGTTTTAATATCCAGAATTATAGGATTATGATAATTTGGATTTTTTATCAAGTATTGTGACTGATAAGTTCTATGATATTGTATAAATTATATAAGTATATAAACCTTATTTAATAAATTGGCGCTTGAGATTTAAACGATAATCAATAAAAAATCATTAAAATTAGGTACATTAATACAATTAACAAATCATAATGAAATAATGATGGTATAAAAGAAAGTAAGTGAAACAACAAATTATATATTTTTTTGTGTTATAAATTACATTTATTCTCAAGTCAAAATCTGAGCAAACTGATTCCATTGTATCATACGTTAATTAACTTTTTAAAACAATTTAAACACAAATAAAGCCTAACCTAACTTATAATCACCATAAAAATATTAATAATTATACTTACAGTAGTGTATTGCAATAATTTGTAAAAAAATAAAATATATTTCCATAGTTTGTAAATCCTGTGCTAAAATACTAAAATATATTTATACAATAATATTCTTTTATGTATATTAACATATTTAATATATTTTTATATATTAATACGATTTTACATAGGTATAGAAAAATTTGATTTTCTAGTACAAATTTCAATATTTATTGCTTTTAATCTTGTTCAATAAAATCAAATGAGCATGCACATAATCTAATATTATTGTTATTATTATTTGGTAAACTTGTCAGCACAAACAGCACCGCTTAGTTCCTTTTTTTTTTCAAATCTATTATATATATATCATTATTTTTCTGTACACCTTTGCCGATTATTATTTTCAAATTCGGAATACAGTGTTAGACAATAATTAACAATAATAAATCTATACGTTACACAATATACACAATATATAGGACCTTTATAATATATAGAGATTCTGAGTTCGTTTATAGTATTTTTTTAAAACAGTGTAATTACTTTGATTTATGATGATGCATTTCATTCAATTTTCAAATATAAATCGAGGACAGGAAAATCGCGAATGAACATTAATGTTATAACCTTATCTTCGGTCTAATGGTAAATTATTAGTTGTTTTCACACAGTCATCAGGTCACAAAGCGTGCGACAATCGCAAACGCTAACCAATAACCATAAAATGAGTACGTATATATGAATACACCAGCTACCAATAATATATTACACAAATATGAATTTTATATTTTATAACAGTGGTGTTGTGAAATTCCACACATCAAAACACACGACGGTGGTCGGCGAACGCTCGGACCTGACCACAGACGACGCGGACGACAGTGTGGGTCCGTGCAATGGGTCGATCGGGCTCTAGGCGTATCTGCGCAGTCCTCGTGACGCCAAAACAGACGCTGCGCGTGAAAGCCAAGTCCCGCGTGATCGTTCCATCCGGTGAATATGGATGCTGGGTGTACCACATAACTGCATATCGCGTGTCACGTGCGGGAGCGGACTTATACCGGACACCGCGACCTGGTGCAGCAGTCGAGGTTGGCGGGAGGTGACGCGATTGCAGCTGCAACACACGGTGTGGGTGCTGTCGTCGCCACCGACGTGGATGAGCAGCCACGCAGAGACGTTTGCAATTCGACCGGCTCTGGAGGCTGAACCGCGGCGTGGCGGTGCAGTCATTGCGGCTGTTCCGCTAGTGGGAGTGTGACGGTGTATAAAACATAAGTCAAAACGAGTACCACACACTGTACAGCCATGCACGGCGTAGCGTTCAGGTGTTTGGTGTTGTTAAGCGTCTGGTGCTATCATTCACGGGGGCATGCCACTGCCGTGGTCGTCGACGATCCAGGGGGACTGCGCGAGGCGGCCACGCAGCCGCCGCACCCATCGTCTGGGGTGTCGATGGTGGCACCGACCGTGCCGTCGGCGCCGAAGTCAGTGCTGTCCACAGCCACCACGGTCGGTCTGGATGCGATGGTAGCGGCGGCATCGTCGTTGTCGTCGGCCGGTGCCGCGGACCTGGACACGGCCGCGTCCAAGAAGAAGAAGAAGAAAAAGAAAAAGTCAAAAAAGTTCAAAAAAGGAGGCGGCTCTAGCCACAAGGAGGACCATTTCAACAAGAAGGGCAAAAAGGCCGACAAGGGGTACAAGTCAAAACACTCCAATCACCACGGCAAGAAGGGTCACCATAAGAAGGAGGACAAGAAGAAACACTATGCGGAGCACGGTGGCCACAAGAAGAAGCATCACGACGAAGGCGGCTATTACAAAGACCACCACAAGGGCGAGAAGGGCGAGAAAGGCCACAAGTTCGAAGACAAGGGCGCGTACAAGAAGGGGCACAGCACCAAGGGCAAGCACGAGGTTCACAAATTAGACGAGTTCAAGAAGAACAAGAAGTTCTACGACGAGCACCACGACTCGGGACACCACAAGAAGCACGGTGGCTACGAACATAAGCACGGACACAAAGAGGGCAAAAAGTACAAGAAGGGTCACAAGCACGCCGGACACCATCACGATCACAAGGGCAAGAAGGGCAAACACCATCACGGCAAGCACTACAAGGAGCACAAGGGCCACAAGAAGGCGGCGGGACACGACGAGAAATACGGGCACAAGAAGAAATATGCGAAAAAGGGTGCCCACGACGAGCACAAGAAATGGAAATTTAACAAGAAGCAATGATTTTGGCATACTTGAGCCGAAACGAGTGATGGACGTCGTAGCAGTCGCTGTCGTCCTGCGATCGTCTTATAATGACATTGCTACTGCAATAGGTATATTATAAATAATAATATGTTAATGTAGTAGTACTTATTTTATAATGTGACGTTATCCGTGACTGAATTAACTTGTGTTATACTTAATCCTTTTCTATTCGTTTATCTTTAAATATATTTATATCGATGCATAATATTATTATATTTATATACTTGCAATTTGTTTCTTTCAATTATTTTATTAATCGTGGAACGCTATCATCAAACAATTCGGTTCAAACGTATGTTCTTTTCTTCTTATCCTTCTCGTTATCGTTCTGATCGGCATAATATTATTACCGTCAATGTATTATTACACAGGAACTTATTCAGTCTACGCGGGACCTATTGAGATTCCAGCGGGACGACACGATAAACATAATTGAAAAACTTTTTAAAAGTTATTTTTATTGCCCGGTGATGACGGCTAGAGGTATTACTAGACAAACATAATTCCCTCATGCAATATGTTTTTATAAAACGCAAGTGTTTATATTAATAACCATTTGTCGTTGCCTATCTGGCACTTGTAACTACCTTTAATAGCCGCAATATTTCTTCTGCGTTTTATTTTCAAGTAAATTTACTGTAATATATTATAATAGAAATGAAATACTACGTTTATAGAAACGTATTATTTTACTCGGTTTTGTTATTACCGAAATATTATTGTACTGCAGGACGAGGCTAGTGTTATTTTCCAATTGGTTAAAGAATATTATAAGAAATATAGGATAATATTGGAAAAATTTAAAAACTAATTTCGCCAACCCGAACGATTTATACAAAAACAATATTTCGATAGATCCTAATCCTCTTATTTGTGTCTAAAATCACTAGATTGGACGAATGTTTATCTATAGGTATAGGTAACGCATCATCGGCGGTGCGCAACTGCCGGCGGTAATATTTTAACATTTTATCACCATTAATCGTGTCAGGGCGGCCAAGAGCCGTGCATTGTAAACACAGCGACGGAGAAACTATTATTATTGTGCACGCAACATTAGATAATGGTTTATTAGGGTATCGACTAGAAATGTCGACACATCGATCGACGACGGTTTTTCTTTCCTTTCTGTTTTCCCCTCCACCGCGTGTCACAAACTATTCGCACCACCGCTGTTCCACGGCAATATAATATACAATTTACCATTATATTATATAGCATACTACTAATGGGTGTGAATATCGTTTATGTTATTACGAGCCTAAAATCGACGGTTAATCGGTGAATCGAAATACCGTGACAGATCGCGTCTCTTTAGGTCAGACGCGAGTCATTGTGTGCATGCGCGCACAATTAAAACGCATAATTTACATTTAAACATTGCGCAATGTTTGCAATGGTTTTATTTTCGTATTAAACAGTCGACGATAGCTTTTTATTATATTATTACTGTCCTCTCAGTTTCATGAAAAATATACAAAAGTAATGATAATAGTAATAACAAGGTGTAGCATATATGAATTAAAAGGTATATGCGTGTTTGCAGTACACAAATCCGTACTTTTAACACTAGCAATGGTATTATTGGATTTTATACCATTTTTGAATATCGCAATATCAAAAAAAAAAAAAAATAAATAAATAAATAAATAAATAAAAATATCTTAAGGTCAACAAAAAAGGATATAAACATTTTATAAAATAAAAAATGTTTATGATGCAAGGTATAATATTTAATCAATTCGTTGGAATCGCTGTCTATAATATTATTAGAAATATAATACTATACATTTTATGAAACACTTGTATTAATATCTGTAGTAGTATGTGCATAATAAATTACTCAACAAGTAAGGTATAATACACATTAAATATATGTATAAAAATTGATTTTGAAAGTATAAATGTCACAATTCGCTTTACAAGTATGTACTTTGTACATATAAATCAACATAATTATAAAAATAAAACACATATATTATAATCATAATAATAATAATTAAATGATATACTATAAATAATATGTGCGTTAATTGTATATAATACATTAAACATATATGGGTTCTTATGTTAGGTTAGGTTAGGTTAATATATATATATATACAATATAGATATATACATACATATTTAAATAGTAGATCCATAAGACCGTAAAACGTTTATAGGTTTCCTCTGCGAATATTTTTATTTATTTTTTACTGTTATGCAACGGCGTGTTATTTAAAACAATACTGGATTGTGTAACCAAATAAAATAGATATAGTTTGATGTACTAAAACATCGTTTTCAGTGCAATGGTGAACGTTATTGTTATAATTGTCTGAATGTATATGTTTATGTGTTTACAATAATGTTTGGCATAATATTCCAATACTTGATTAAAATAGGTATACATAATATACTAAGTGCCTTTAAATGGTCGACAAGATTACAGTTTGATGTGAATTCAAACATTGAATATTATATAGCATATTATACTATATTATATTTGACAGTCGGTAAATGCATACAAATACCGATTTAACCGATTTAATTAAAATCAATCGTCAATTACATTTATCACAACATAAAATTCATAGCGAAATGTACTTATACACTTGTCACATGACTTGGCTGATGAACGTATAGGTATTATAATTATTTTTATTTTTTCCAACTCAAAAGATAGTATACTTGTCTTATTTGCATTATTTTATCATTACGTTGAAATTTATATTTATAAAAACCACATTAGTATACCAATGTATTAAATCGTGATCCTAGTAAAAAAAAAAAAAAAAAAAATGGGTAACATAAGCTAGTACCTTAATAAAACCTTTTACTTTTTATACTTGTATATTATCAAATACTTATAATTGTAGTATTAAGCTTAAATTTTATCTCATGTAATCCACATCATATCGGTTATACGTTTATTGTAAAAAAAAAAATGTTTATCTGTAAGGGTCTTTATATTTAAAATGAATGCGATATATATAAAAATTCATTGAAAACGAATATGTAAATATATATAATACGTACAGTATATTAGTGTGTAAATTTGAATACACACAACAATATTTTCATAGTATTACTATATCGTCATAGTCGGGTGAACTATTCTTCGGTTAGCGTTCAAATTAATCATGCTATACAGTATACACTCGTGTGGAGTTGTATAATTTTTAAACTGTGAACAAAAATATACAAAATAAACAATACGCTGTAATTTTCAATCAAATATTTATAGAGTTTAAATTAGTAACTGTTGTTTGATACTTTTTTCCTCACATTAATGATTGAAAATACATAATTATATTCTGTGTATTTATAAAATATTTAATAAATACTCCATTAGTAGTTTATAGGTATATTTAGAAGCATTCTCATAATTCTGTATTGAAATTTCACAATGAACATCGATTTGTATGAGTAATGTGGTTGAAATAATTAAATAATAGCCAGACCCTTATGGTATTAATATGAACAATATGATAAAAATTCTATAATATAATTCACTTGTATCAATGTTGCATTAAAGAGTCATAAAAATTAATAATATTACATTCTATTCTACCGTTATATATGGCATATAAAAATAATAAATAGTATGTACAAAGTGATTTAGCGACCGTTTTTTAAGTTTCATATTATTTTAGAATATGATATTAGTTATTACCCACACTTAATGTGCAGACAGGCCGTAAAAGTTTGAGTTATACAAAACACGAAAACGCGTTTATACATTTCTCCAAACTAACTATACTTTGTTGCTCTTAAGGTACTATTTCATTTAGGCACTAAAATTCAATTAATATCGTTTAATATACTACGCATTGTATAAATTCTAATTAAAGTTAACTAATAAAGTAAGTACGAGAAAAAAACAAATGAAAAAAGAAAAATTATTTCAAAAATATTTCAGTGAATTTATTTAGTCAAAAATGATTTAAAACTTTAAGATTCACGCCAACATTTTTTTTTCCGAGTACATTGAACAATAAGGCATTGATACAACTACAATGCGATTTCTTATTACTTAATTCAGCTCTTTTCATAGAATAAAATTTTACTTTCGTGGCGGAAATTCAAAAAAATATATTTTTCTGACATACTATAATAATATTGTTGTGTTATATTTCATAAGTAATAATTAATTTCAAATGTAAATTGAAATAAATGGATTTCCAATTTTTAATATTTATTAGTCAGAAATTTGTTCTATCATAATTTTAATGGACTTTGAATTCTATGCGTACTATATAATAAATTGTACATGACAATACATTTCAAGATATCAAACAAAAATAATAAATCATTTGATTAATTCATTGTAACATCTGTCATAGTTTTAATTACAGATGTCTAAGACAAAAAATATATATTTATAGACTTTATGTTAAAGTATGCGTTGAATATTTTATATGTTTATGCATACGTATATATGTATAAGAACAACAGTACTCCGGTATTGGTTATCAGAACAGCCAAAATTCCAACGGTCATGATGGGAATTCGAGATATGCCAACACTTCATAAATAGAAACTAAAAATATAAAACAAAAATTAAAAAATATCTCTGCAAAGGATTTAAACGATATTTTAAACGAAAACATTTTGACCGTTCTCTTCAAAATAAATTTTATTGCGTGTATTGAGTGTATATATAGTTATAATTTTGTATACGAAGGAATCTCAATGCAGATAACCGTATTCAGAATGACAGCTATGAAATTTGAATAGACATATTTTATGCATATTCAAAAAACGGTCATTTTATGAAAGTTTCATTAATTTTTTTGTTTTTTTTTTTTTTAGTACATATAGGAAGGGTGAAAGTTCTGTGATTAAAAATTACATGTATACACAGTTGGTAAAATAAATTTAACAAAATGTTTTAGATAAAAATCCAAAAAAACAATGTTTAGTCTTCACCACAATTATAATAGTAAAATACAATTAAAATTTATTACACCATATAACATTTAGACAGTATTCAGTAAAAATATATAATTGATAAACATAACAATAAAGTTTCAAATTAAAATTAATATTTATACTTGTTAGTCTATTCTAAACTAATGTTAAATACATTTAATGTTTAAATAAAATCTAAATAGAAATTAAAACAGTTTATTTTTGTACCATTTAGTAACGATGAATTTAAATACTGAAATAAAATTGAAAATACAAACATTTTTACATAATA